GATTAATGCGGAGAGATCTTAAGAACACGATAACTAGAATGTGCATCCTCCTGGTCCTCCGTAAAAGATAGCGTCATCCCAAACATGACCAAACAATGGTTGGTCCTTTTTGACTTTGTAACAATTCGGGGTGCTTGAGAATGTCTTTAGAGTATCAAGTGGTGGAGTCATACCTTCCGATCCAAGATCATTATATACTACAAAATCATTCATATAGGCTACTTTCGTGTAACTTTTCTGTTGTGGGAAATGTCCACTTCCCATGCTTGGACTCTTCTCTTTCACTGGACTATATACTTCTCCTCCCCATGAGGCCAAGCTTCCTCCATGGCCTAAACCAACATCTGTGAACAATGATTTTGGCCAGTATCCAACATAATTATTATTGAACGCCACCAACCACCAATTTCCTGTAATATGATCCTGCTTAAACAAGCACGGTTACTTATAGAATCAAAGGACTAGAGAAACAGCATGAACATTCTCATTAACAAATACCCTCAAGTTTTGGTGGAATTGGCTAATATCATAAAACTTCTCATATAAGCAAATTTGTTTGGAAGTTGATGCTACCTTATACATGTTGATGCCTACTTCGTATTGTTTGCCACCGTAAGTGGAAACTGGTTGAAGAAGGTAACCTAGTGGGATATCAGTGCTTACTTGTACAAAGCCAGGACATAATGTATTGTAACAACCTGTCTTGTTAAACCCATCTGCCTGTTTCGAAATCAAAGGGACATATACAAATCATGGCGAGACACAACATGAAAATACCAAAAAAGAGGTCAAATGTATTATTGTAAATCTCTTTAGAGGTTTAAGATCTTACTGTCCAATATGTGTATAAGCGGCTGTGATTCTTGTTTAGCCATTGGTACACCTGAGCGATATTTTGGAATATGTATATTTGGTAAATTTTCTATATCTTCACCATCGATAAGTGCAATTCAGAGAAAGCGAGGGAAAACACAAGATTATGACTTACTATCCATCCAGCTCTAATGCCTTGAAACTGTTCATTTGATCCTGCAGAGATAGCGATACTTGCAAGACTGAATTGATTAGGTGAAACTTCGGGTTCCCAGATGTTAAGATTTCCCTTTGCTCCATAATGAAATTTTTTGTACTGAGCCACAGCAAACTATAATACAAAGAGAATAATAAGGAGAGAAAAGTGATTAATGCTCATTGTATATATATATAAGGATGTATTAGCCTGGTTCATACATGATAACCAGATAGATCAATGTTCTTGCTCTTTGAAGAAACATATCTTGAAGATTTGAAGCCCATGGATTTCAAACTCTGAGCTTGTATAAGATCTTCCAGTGTGTTCCTCTTAACAATCACGGTTCCAAGTGGACAACTTATACCATCTCGTCTAAACGGGAAGGAACCACCTTTCTCAGAATTGTTGTTATTATTTATGGTCCATTTAGGTATAGTCGTAGGCTTCAACTACACATCATATTCCAATCCATTCATAAAATAAGCTCATCATTAAGAACTTTCAGTCGAATTAGGGATCGGAACTAATTCTTATATGGGATAAAACCTGAATAGAATGGTTTATGAGTAGAGGATGATTAAAGGCTAGCTGCTTGTGAATGTCTATGCAATCCAATGTATCGCCATGTTTAGTCTACAGAATTGCAAACAGAAATAAACTTGATTTGTTCTGAAAAAAATGCGACCATTCTATGATTATACCATATTTTTTGAAAGGCTTACCCGAAAACTCTTGATCGCAGACTTATTGATATAGTTGAGTAAACTCTCCAACGTGTTTTCCTCCTCTTCCAATGGTTTTGTTCTGTAACTCTCAGTAACTATAATTAGAGCTATTGCTGAAAAAGTTAGCATAAGAACTTTTTCATAGGAATTCATGGCAACTAATAAAACTCCCAAGGAACCAAGACTATATATTAACTATCTTTTCACACACAAAAAAAAAAAAAAAAAAATGTTTGATGCACAACAACTATATAATGGTGTCAGATTAATCTAAAGACCATAAAAATCAATAAAGATCCTATGTAGAATGACTGGCAAGTGGCTCTCTTGCTATTAGCTTTCTGTTGATTCTAATAAAAGTCTTTTGCAAACTTTTAAGACTTTTTTCCTTTTTACCTTTTTCTAAGCTCACAAAAAAACTTATCAGATCTCCAATAATTAAATTCTTTGTTTACTTTTATCTATGACAAAAGCTCTGCTTTGTGAAAAAAAAAAATTACTCGAAGTCCAAGATATAAGTCAATCTTTTGAACATCGTAGTGTATTGACATTCCTGGATACCTTTCTCTAGTTTCAAAAGAAAAATTTAGGAGATTAATTTCCCCACTTTAACCCCCAAAAAAAGTAGAAGAAACATGTACTGAAGTAATTTTGCATATTAGCTAAACCTTATTACAAGCAAACAAATTGTTTTTGAAAAAAGGACACTACGAAGTAGCTCCAACAATATCTTCCAGCATAATTGTTTCAATTCTTCCACCAAAACATATGTACTATATTTCAACTTAAAAATGAAAAACTAAATAGAGATCTTAAGAACATGGTAACTAGAATGTACATCCTCCTGGCCTTCCAAAGAAAATAGCATTAGCCCAAAGTTCACCCATACCTGGTTTCTTTATGGCTTTGTAACAATTTGGGGTGCTTGAAACTGTTTTTAGAGAATGAAGTGGTGGACCCATCGAACCTTCCAATTTAATATCTTCGATTAGTTCAATACCACTCACATAGGCTGCTTTCTTGAAACCCTCTTGTGGGAAATGTCCACTTCCCATGCTTGGACTCTTCTCTTTCACTGGACTGTATACTTCTCCTCCCCATGATACTAAACTTGCTCCATGGGCTAAACCAATATCTGTGAACAATGAATTTGGCCAATATCCAACATAATTATTGAACGCCATCAACCACCAATTTCCTGTAATATGATCCTGTTTAAACAGACGCAGTTATTTATACATTCGAAATGACTAGAGAAGCAAAATTTTGGTAGTTGATGCTACCTTATATATGTTGATGTTTATTTCATATTGTTCGCCACTGTAAATAGATATTGGTTTAAGAAGTAAGCCTAGTGGGATATCAGTGCTCACTTGCACAAAGCCAGGACATAATGTATTATAGCATCCTGTCTTCTTAAATCCATCCGTCTATATGAGTCAAATGATAGAACATGTATAAATGATGATATCCACAACATGAGAATATCAAAAATGTCAAGATGGATTTTATATTAAAGCTCTTTAGAGATTTTGAGAACATACAGTCCAGTAGGTGTATAAGCGAGTGTGATTCCGGTTTAACCATTGGTACACCTGAGGATATTTTTGAGTGTGGGTTTTGGTAATCTTTTTTTACTTTTCACCATTGATAAAAAAAAAAATTAGAGAAAGCAAGGGACAACACAAGATCTTGACTTACTATCCATCCAGCTCTAATGCCTTGAAACTGTTCATTTAAGCCGCTAGAGATAAGCATACTTGCAAGACTGAATTGAGTAGGTGAAACTTCTGGTTCCCAAAGATTAAGGTTTCCCCTTGCTCCATAATGAGAATATTTGTACTGAGCCACGGCAAACTAGAATCAAAGAGAAAATATAAGAAGAAAGAAGTGATTAATGCTTCATTGTATGTGGGAAATTCAAATTTCTCTATGTGACAGATGTACTAGCCAGATTAATACATGAAAACCAGTCAAATCAATGTTCTTGCTCTTTGAAGAAAGAGATATTGAATCTTTGAACCCCATGGCTTTCAAACGCTGATCTTGTATAAGATCATTCGGTGTGGTTCTCTTAACAATCACGGTCCCAAGTGGACAACTTATGCCATCTTGTCGAAGCGGTACGGGACGAGAATCATTATTATTAGTTATGTTCCATTTAGGTATAGTTGTAGGTCTCAACTGCACATCATATTTCAATCAATTCATAAATAAACTCCTCTTTTTAAAAAAATATACTCGAAGTAGGGAACTTCTATAATATAGACATGCATAAACCTGAATAGAATGGTTTTTGAGCTGAGGATGATCAAATGCGAGCTGTTTGTGAATGTCAATGCAATCCAATATATCACCATTTTCAGTCTACAGAATTGAAAAAAGCAATCAACTTGATTTGATATGTAAACAATATGATTCTAGCCGCATGAAAACCATAACTTACGAACATGTTATCCGATTTTTCAAAAGACTAATTTACCTGAAAACTCTTGATTGGAGGTTTATTGATATAATTGAGTAACCTATCCAACTCGTTTTCATCATCTTCTAGTAAGATTTGTCCGCGACTCTCTGCAACTAGAATGAGAGATACCGCTAAAAAGGTAAACAGAAGAAGCTTATCAAAAGAAATCATGGCAACCAATTGATATAACTATAAAGATTCAAAGGCACTCTTAATTATATGGTTGTCAAAAGTATATATGGTGTCACATTAATCTAAGACCATTAATTAATATTAACAAACAATCTATATACCATTATAATGAGTGGCAAGTGGCCTTCTTTCTATCCCCCTTATTATGGATTCTAAATTTCTAATAAGAGTCTTTAGCAACCTTTAGTATACATAAACTTTAGAACAAGAATTAAAGTATTCATTTACCTTTTTCTAAGGTCACAAAATAAAAACTTGACAAATCTCAAGAATTAAAGTCTTTGTTTACCTTTTTCTATGCAAGACACGAAAGTGGTATTTTTGAAGAAAAAGAAATATAAGCCAAATCCAAGATATAAGTCTAACCTTGAGCATCGCAGTGTATTGAACATTTACGGATAACAAATCAAATTTATAGCTCCATATATAACATTGTCAGCTCTCCAAATGTTTGTCGGACTGAATCCAAAACTCATGGCCTAACTTCTTGAAAAATACTTGGTTAAAAACTCCCAAAGTTCTAGATCAAGTCTAGGAGGAAACTGAAACAATTAAAGAACTGACTACGAAAAATTGGGAAAAAACAAATCTAAAAGCAAAATCGATGTTTCCATTGCATCAATTTGGTATCAGAGCGACGCTTAGTGATTTATACATCATGCGTTGCTTTAATACCAATTGACGTGATGGAAACCGACTGATGGAATTGTACAACCCTAATTAGTGGAAAGCGATGTATGTAGATATATATAGTGGTAGAAAAGATTGACGAAATCCTAACCCTAGAAAGAACAACGTTATCAGTTTGCCCAAAAAAAAAAAAAAAAAAAAGAACAACAACGTTTTTACTGCTGTATATTTTGTTTCCTTTTTTAAAAAACTCTTATATGTTTTTACCGTATCTATGTGAAAATCAAATTTAATAATTAGGAGAGAACAATAGTTAGCAAGAAATTTATTGATTTGCTTAGAAGTTCAAGTCAATAGCAATTATACTTCATGTCCTACTTATATTGCAGTTCCTTAATCTTATAATTACATGATCTTGTAGACAAAGAAACGTATGTTTTTTTCTCTGTACTTTCAAGTGCGTTTTTGCACTCAGTCCAATGCTCAATAAACATATACTGAATTAAAGTTCTGACATTAGGAAACTTTATTTTGATTATTTATAAAAGCATAAGTAATGCTAAGATATGTTTAAAATTTGTATAATTTCTCATATTAGCCTAATCTATAATATAAGATATTGTAACTCTCCAGTTCATAGATTATTGCCTTAGCATCCTCCAGGACCTCCATAGTAAACAGCTCTTATCCAAGGTTCATCTTCATCATGAACAAACTTGGCTTTATAACAATTTGGACTGCTCTCATGAGTCTCTATAGTGTAGATTTGTGGAATCAAAGCTTCTCCCTTACCATTCATGATATGTATATTGTTTACAAAGGCTGCTTTTCCGAAACCTTCCTTAGGAAAATGCCCACTGCCCATGATTGGACTCTTTTCTGTCTTTGGACTGTACACTTGACCTCCCCAAGATGCAAGATCTGCTCCTTTCACTAAGCCTGAGGCTATGAACAGTGACTGTGGCCAATACCCAACATTCACACCTCCAAATATAAGCCACCAATCCCCCGTGACACGATCCTGTTCGCGATATTATAAGATGAATATCTAAGTGACTTAAAAGGTGAGATCACTAGAGACTCTGGAGGTAATTACCTGATGCAAGCTTAAGTCCATTTCTTTTTGTGTACCATTATAAACTGAAACTGGTTGAAGAAGGACACCAAGTGGTATCCTCTTGCTGACTTGCACGAATCCAGGACATCTTATGTCGTAGCAGCCTGTCTTATTATATCCATCTGCCTGTTTAAATCAATATTTAATAACCATATATATCTCACTAAGACCATGTCAAGTTAGAAAAAAAAACATAAGCGTAAACTTTCAGGTGGTTACTCAAAACTTACAGTCCAATAAGTGTATAAGTGAATGTGATCTTGGTACAACAATGGATTCACCATCCATCCAACTGAAATGCTGGCGAGCTGTTCTATTTTTGGACCGCCTGCAATCGCCATGGTTGCAAGACTAACTTGATCATGTGACACTTGTGGATCCCAGAGGTTAATGTTTCCTGTTACTCCAGCAACGTTGTCATAGTCATAGTCGGCTGTTGCAAACTAAATATCCATAGAGAATGAAGAAATTAAGAAAATGGAAACAGAGTAATGGTGTTTTATACTGTGAAGTAAGGATTCTTACATGATGTCCACTTAAATCAATGTTACTTCCCTGGCTAAGGACATGTCTAGGGATATTGAAACCAATGGATTTCAAATGTTGCGAGTTTATAAGATCTTGGATTGTAGTCCTTTTAACAATTACTGTCCCATGTGGACAACTTATTCCCTTTAGCTGAAGCTGCATAGGACCAACTTTTTGTCCTTTGTTGTCGTATGTGATCGGCCATTTAGGTACACTTGTTGGCTTTAGCTGCATATATACGCCAAGGAGTTCACAAAGTCATTCTCTAAAGAGCTTTAGTTTATGTATAAAGAATTTGATAAACCTCAAAACCTTAACAGAGTGGTTTCTTAGCAGATGGTGATCAAAGGCTAGTTGCTTGTGAATGTCTATACAATCGAATATTTCACCTTGTTCAGTCTATTCAAAAAGGGAAAGTTGAAAAAAGGTTAATGTATACTCATAAAAACTTATGTCATGTTTCTTAGTTAGCATGTATGAAGAAGGAAAGGCTAAGCCCACTTTGAAACTTTTGATAGCAGGTTTGTTGATAGCTTTGAGTTGCCTCTCCATTTCTTTCTTCTCTTCTTCCGATGGAATCCCCCGGCTTTCATGAGCTGCTTCAGCCACTAATACAAGAGAAATTGTTAACAGAATTCGTAACACAAGGTTTTTATTGGAGGAATCCATTGTGTATAAAAAATGGTTATCCAAAAGTCAGAGGCTCTTATCTTTCTTATGTAAATGAACAAATGAATCAAAAGAATCAGTTATAGTGAATGAACAACTTACAAGCAAAATGCTGAGAAGAACTCACAGACAAGTGGCTTATACTTTTTCATGGAATCATATTAATAAAGAGTGAATAAATTAATGAATAGTTAAAGGTTACAGAAAATTAAAAGGAGAAGATCTGAGATTAAACTCTTCATATTAATACTGAGAAATAAACGTATCTACCTCTCTGCTAAAGCAAACAGAAAAGTTCTAAAAGAAATCTATAAAGTAAACAATCATAATCTCTTAAACATAATTGATTGTATTTATCTGTATCAATCTAAAATAAGAAAAAGGGAAGTGGAAATCAAAAGGCTTAAAGATCAGACCATCTAATTTCTGATTTTCATCTCAAAATAAAAAAGTTAATGCAAAAAGATCATACTAGAATGTGCATCCTTAAGGTCATTCATAGAACATAGATTTAGACCAAATAAATTAACCCAATAACTTGTGTAGTTAAGACTTCTTAAGAACATAGAGATGTAAATTCTTAAGTGCGAGTTATTAGCAAATCTAAATCACTTTTCTCTTCTTGTATACTTGTGCTGACTTAGGTGTCTCAAAGAGAAGGATTTGATGAAACAAAAATTAATCGAAAGGAACTCAGACTTTTATAAACTATGAAGAACAAGAATTTCAAATGTGGTTTACAAATAAGTTTACATTTTATAGAAAAATATGTAAACTCAGTCTAAACGAGATATAATTTGACAATGAGCGTAGCAATTCAATGACCTAAAAAATTTAAACCATTCACATAGGCTGCTTTCTTGAAACCCTCTTGTGGGAAATGTCCACTTCCCATGCTTGGGCTCTTCTCTTTCACTGAACTGTACACTTCTCCTCCCCAAAACACGGCACTCGCTCCATCAGCTAAACCTTGACGTGTGAACAATGATTTTGGCCAGTATCCAATTGGCTCGTTATTTAGCACAAACCACCAATCTCTTGTAACATGATCCTGCTTAAATCAAAAGTTGTTAACATAATCTTGACTTTTCGATATTAGTTTGAAGAAAGCTAATGTTGTATATTTATATATATACCTGATATATGCTGACTTCTAGTTGATATTGTTGACCATCATAAATGGAAACTGGTTGGGCGAGCATTCCAATTGCATTCTTGGTGCTCACGTGTACAAACCCAGGACATAGTGTATTGTAGCAATGAGTCTTATTATTTCCATCCGCCTATTTAAATCAAAGATAGTAGCCATAATATGAATGCCACATTTAAGAGTCAAGACTTTAAGAAGTTTTGAAAAACTTACAGTCCAGTAAGTGAACAAGTGACTTTGATTATTCTGATTTAGCCCTGGATACACCTTAAAAACATATTTTGGAATGTTAGTTCCAAATTTTTGATTTAGAAAATAAGTAAAAATAGGGTCTAGCTTGACTTACAATCCATCCAGCAGAAATGCTTTGAAATCCTTTGTTGCCTGATACAGCCATAGCCGCAAGACTAAATTGATCAGGTGAGACGTTTGGATTCCATACGTTAATGTTTCCTTTTGCTCCATAGTGGTCATCTTTGTAACTAATTGTGGCAAACTAAAATCCGAAGAGAAAAAGAATAGATAATCAAAAAATATTATAAGCATTGTGGACAAGTTACAAGGCGATCTCAATTCAACTACGTGTAATAAGAAATGATTCTTATATGATGACCAGTTAAATCAATTTTCTTGTCCTTTGCAGACACTTGTCCTGGATAGTTGAATCCTAAGGATTTCAAACGTTGAGCTTGTATAAGATCTTCAAGTATAATTCTTTTGACAATGACTGTCCCAACTGGACAACTTATGTCATCTTGTCGAAATGGCAGAGAACTAGTTTTATGAGAAGCGTTGTTATCTTTGGTCCATTTAGGTATAGTTGTGGGTTTCAACTGCATTTATATTTCAATCCATCCAAACATTAATAAGAATTTTATTTATAGATATTTTTTCGTGGTTTGTAGGATAAACCTTAATAGAATGGTTCTTGAGCAAAGGATGATCAAAAGCTAGCTGTTTTTGAATGTCGATGCAGTCAAATATATAACCATGTTCAGTCTGTCGAAATCAAAAGCAAGAAAAAATTGGTGTGGTCTGAAAATAAATGTAACTTGATGATAGTTGTAATATTGTTACAATAATCAACAATTTTTGTAATATTTTATGAAAATTTAAGAAAAGAAATGCTAAATTTACTTGGAAACTTTTGACTGCAGGTTTATTGAGATAGGTAAGTAGCTTCTTCATCTCTTCTTTCTCCTCTTTCGAAGGTATTGTTTTGTGACTCTCTCCAACTAAAATGAGAGCTATTGTTGATAAAGTTAGCAAGATAATTAGTTTATTGGAATACCTCATGATGAATCAAGGATCTTAATCTATATTTTTCAAAAGAAAAAATGAAGCAGAACAACTATATTTATTGTGTCACATAAATCTGAGATCATTTATAACCAACAAAGAACCTATACACAGTAAATGACAAATGTATCTCCGTCTATCTCTATTGCCCATATGTAGATGCCAAAGTAAGATTTCTCTTTTTTTTAATGTACTTTTTTTTGTATAAAGTATATTCCATAAGAAAAAGGAAAAGCTTGTTTATGGATCAATTGACCCCAAAAAAAGTTTTTAGATCAAAGCCCAATATAAAAAAAAAAAAAA